CCATTTTCCGTATTATGGGTTTTTCAAATTCGCGTACCATATAAGCGCGAAATAACGCGCAGGGGTATAATTTCGAAATTGGCCTAAATTCGGGCCATTATTCAAAATAACGATCCTAGGCATTATTTCGCGCTTATACGGTAAATCCAATCAAATTCAGCATTGATCAATCGTTGATATCTCGTGTTCTATTAATCAGATTTCGATGATTTTGATATTATTCGAGATGATTCGATTGATATAAGTTATAGTTATTGTATGGGTTGTAAAAAATAACTAAATTTGCACGGGTTTAATACATGGCCTCGGCCATGTAACCCCGTGCCAATAAGCAAATGAAAAGGCACGGGTTATTACGTTAGACCCGCGCAATAACTGCATAAATATTGACACGTAAAGATCCCAATCATCATTTCATTTCACGTATCTAAAATTATTCATGCATGCACTCAAGAAGATCTAAATATTAATGTTCAAAATAACATACCAAAAGCAATATTGATAGAAAAATTGTAATTAAAAAATATAAGGCTGAGACAAATTAAAAAATTTTCGGTTAACATCACTTTCCAGGACTCTCGGAAGGGGGGAAGGGGCAAATGAAACGAACATATAAAATGAACAAACTATTTTATATTAAATACCGTATTTTTGTGAAATAACGCGCAGGGGTGTAATTTCGAAATTTGGCCAGAATTAAGTTTAATTCGGGTCAAAATTCAAAATAATGCTCCTGCGCGTTATTTCGCGAAAATACGGTAAAATAAATATAACCTAATTAATATAGTTTAATAAATATTGAGATGAATTTATTCCAACTGTCCAGGTTATTGTAACTAAATGTGAATCTGTATCTATCAAATAAACTTTCCAATAATTTCGTTTCAAAAAGTTTGTTTCTAATGCATATTGAAAATGAATCGTCGTATATCACTCTCAAATGAAGACAGATAATGATAACATGTAAATTGAGAATACTACAATAACATCATATTTTTATGTAAGCCATACAAAGTTAATTTTTCAGTTTGCATAATCTGGCCTGGATGTTCCAAAATTCCAATCGGCAGGTCGGATTTTTTTTAATCAACTGTAATTTAATAGATTCATGTTCACGTCTAAGACCACGCAAATTTAATTTTTCGTTTTGCATAAAATGGAATGAGAAAATTTGGAATCTTGTTTTTTTTATCAGACTTATCGGGTAATTCCTGAAATTAAGGTCACATCGGATAACACCGGATAATTTATTAAATAACAAAAATGTAATTATTATAACAATTGGAACATATATATATTTTTTTATATTGGGCCGGCGGGTTATGCAAACGACAAGTTAACTTTGCGTGGCTGCCTAATAATACGTCATAGAAATTTAGGGTGTTCTCGTGCTTCTTACTTAAGGGACCAGAGGCAAAATTTTAATTATTCAGAAATAGATAAATTAGTCAAACACTTGTCATTTCGATAAAAAAATATTGGATGATTCATATAATTTTGCTTAGAGAGGTGCTATGATCGATTAAAATTTAAAATCAGTATTTTTGGTCAATGAATTTTAGCAACTATTCTTGGATTCCGTTCCAAAATCTTATGTAACAATTGTCGTTTATCTCCCATTGCTTCTGGTTCACGTTCTTTATTCAAGTTGATTTCAAGCGATTTCAGAGAGACTTCATCCGCAAGACGCTAACTCATATTTTGAATTATCGCATTAATATACACAGTCCAACTTTAGTTTTGATGCAAGATTACTTCGGACGAAGGCAAAAAGCCATAGCAGTCCTCAATATATCGAAAAATAGCCGGACAGAGTAGGGAATCGATCCGTAATCCGACCATCTGAATTGATCTTTAAATATAGATAAATTTAAATATCCAGATCAGAGATTTTTATTCGGATTTGTCAAAGAACTTAAATAACGGTGTTCTCAAAGCTAGCTTTAGATCTAATCTGACACGGATTTAATCCGGATTTAATAGAATCCGGATGGCCTGTCAAAGATAGGATCGAATCCCTAGGACAGAGTAATAGTACACTATTGAATATCACGTGTCATACTTTCCAACACTTTAGAGAGTTCAGTATGTTCGGATCACGTGACGTAACAGCCAATCAAAATGATCAAAATATTGAAGATCGTTTCAGATTCTAGCGAAGATTTCTAGTAATGGCTTGATTAAATTCGGTAAAAATTTTTTATTTTGATTCTATATATATGTAGAACTAAACTAAAAAAAAATTCATCAAATTGGTTAGATAATTGTTGAAAAAAATTGGTGTAAAATTTCTTTTTTACTTTAAATGAAAATTTCTCGACAACCCATCGATTCAAATTCGATGAAATTTTTTATTTTATAAAAAAATCATCGAAATTTGATAGGTGGTTGTTGAAAAAATCTTACTAAAAGTTTTAGAAAAAATTAACTGTAGCTTTTTTTTATAGATGTCTAAACTTTGGACGAAGATTACTCGCACTTACCTGATAAAATTAGAGCAAATATTTTTATTTTATTTTTATAAACTTATTGAATTAAAAAATAAAAAATTTTGATCGAATTTGATCAGGTGAATGCCGAATAATCTTCGTTCAAAGTTTAGGCACTTGTAAAAAGAAGCCGTGTAATTTTTTTCTAAAACTTTTAATATAATTTCTCAACAACCGCCTATCTAATTTTGATAATTTTTTTATTTTAATTTATAAATTCACAGAATTGAAAATTTTCATCAAGCTTAGAACGATGGTTGTTGAAAAATCCTCATTTAAATGGGTTTAAAAAATTTAATGAAAAAATATTGCAATGAATTTTTTACATCGGGAAATTCTGAAATCTAGTATAATCTATTATAATTGATTGAATTTAGCCAATTGCTATCGCCAGGCATGTTGATAATCGATATAAATTAAAATCGATTATAATCAATATATATATAATAATCGACTAGCTTCAATATTTGTATTGATCATAATCGATTAAAACCTCTTTCGTATTTAATCGACGGGGTGATGGTTATCGATTTAAATTTAATAATTTTAATCGATACCGATACTAATCAGGTTTCAAAATTTACTTTGCGCTAATTTTTCTAAAGCTTTTAGTGAAAATTATTCAACAACCACTTATCCAAATTCGATAAAATTTTTTATTTTATTTTAATTCTATAAATTTACAGAATTAAAATAAAAAAGTTTATCGAATTTAATTTTCTGATATTCGACCATTTTTTTAAAATTTTTAGTGAGGATTTCTCAATAACTATCTATCCTAGTACGAAGGCATTTTTTTGGTTTAATTCTATAAATATATGGAATTAAAATAAAAAAAAAGTTAATGAGATTAATCAAGTCATTACTGAGAAAGCGCCGCAAAAATCTTCAATATTTTGATCATTTTAATTGGCTGTCTATGTCCGTGAACGGTTTTTTTGCAATGGATAGGGTACTCTTAATGTAACAAAATATTTTTTAATTACAATATGATTAGCAAAGCTCCTATTCGTGTCAATTTTTTTTAAGTTATTATAACAAATTAATTCCTCCAAATTCTTTAGGCTACGCAAAGTTGATTTTTCACTTCAACATAGATAAGCTACAGTATTTAAAGAAGTGTGGGAAAGGGAAATCGATAGTGCTTTTTTCTTTCGCTGCCTAACTTTAGTCTGGCTTTCTCCCTCCCAGACCAACCCCAAAAAAAAGAAGAGAAAAAAGAAAAGAGAAAAGAAATGAAGTAATAACAGATAGCAAGGGGAAGAAATAATGAATGAAAAAGTAAGAATGGGCAGAGGCAAAGGAAGGAAAGAAGAAAGTAAAAAAGGGTAGCTCGAGGACTTATCAACTTGCAGAGGCCTGCTTGGCTGACTCCGTCCACAAAAAAAAAAAAAGTGAAAATGAGGGAAATCATAAGTTGCAAATAAAAGGAGGAGTGGCTAGGAGATCTGCTTACCGACTTGTAGTGGCCTGCTCGGTGACTTGCTCCCTGACTATCAAAAAAAATTTTTTTTTTTCTTCTTTCTATCCGATATGCCGTGCATGTACCGATTCTCTTCATATTTCGTCACGTGTTTGTGTCATATAGCTAGTCCAATTGTATGTAGGAAAATATCTGTAAAATTAAAATGTAATATGACCCGAGTGAGAATAATTCTATTTTTGTTAATTTTCCGTATTTTTATCCGGTGTTACCTAATGTAATCGAAATTATCTAATAGGTCTGACAGAAAAAAGATCATACAATCAACTCACGGACTTCCGTGACTGCAAACCTTGTGAATACGAACGTGACTTAATAATCTGACATAAAGAGCTGCACTATACGTAAGTATCGACGCAAAAATCTCAGGACAGTGCAAATTCATGCGATATTATTAAGGCTGCTTGTAGTTAAATTCATTATCAATTTCTAGGACTCTCATGGGGTGGGGTTGAAGCAAACATATAAAACAAATAAATTATTATTAAAGTAACAAATCTATTATAACTAATTGACTTACAGTAAAATTAATCTAGAGATTCTAATTGGGTTATTCAAAAAATCCATATAACTGCTAACTAACCAATAATATGAATTTGTGCTCTCTAAACAATATCTATGTATAGATTTCTGCAGCTTTTGTATCGAACCATAAT